TATTTGGCAAGATCAACATAGAACTACTACTCCGACCAAACATTCTCTCTCACCATGATGCAGCTGGGAAGGAGAAGCACTTTGACATCTCTCTGTGAAGACTCATGACTCACAACTATGCCATGGCATTATAAAGCCATCCACAACATGGAACTTTCCCTCTGTGCTTCAACATAGCTGTGACGTGTCTGGGGAGGGCAACTCCAATCTTCATTCCACCCTCCTCCCGTGCAAACACACACAAGCTATAGTTTAATTACTGGTATTTGCTTTCATTTTAAAGGTTTACTGGGAGTTATCTCACATGCTACCTTGTTTCAACGATACTATGCTCAGCTTTTGATAACAGCAGTTGCTGTACCAATAAAAATAAATCCAACCAAGCAATTATCATAACACAATTATGGTCTAATGAGTACTTGCCAGAGTAAAGGCAAACAGAAGGATGAAGAGGTACAGCCTAGAAGAACATGAAAACCTACAAACAACATTATTAAGTATCCGTGTAACAGGGAAAAATACCCAAGCAGAAAAGAACCGATACATGAGAATTAAATGTTAGAGGCCCGAGCTGCCAAGAGTAAGCTGTCCATTCACAGCAGTCAAACTACACTTTAAAATGATGCCAGCAGACCACGAAACTAAGAATCAGGTACTCCCATATCCTCACACCTGGCTGCAGTAGGGCACATTTTGTCTTTCTGCAAACAAAGCCTTGTTCCAATCACGCTGTGGGACTGATTCATGTTATTGTTTGCAGTCTGACAGTATGGTTAAAGCACTTTAAATAGAACAAAAAAATACTAATACTCTTGCGGTTTGCATATTTTACCAACAGAAGAAATTCTAGTTAATAACTTATATCTGCAGTAATCTGAGAATACCCAAACGTCCTGGAGGTGGTGAGCTCCAGTTCTTATCCCTGTGCCTCATCTGCTCTGCTCATTTGCTGAAAAAGGAACAGGGAGAGGATTTCTTTCCCTTCCCACTCCCCAGCTGTTGGGACAGGGGAAAACACGATGCAAACAGAGAGGAGATGTGTTCCCATGCTCTCCCCTTGTAGCCTTACCTTGCTGCCACTGTAACCGACAGTCCAACAGTACGATCAGCTGAACTTATCTCCTTTCTTAACCCTCCAAAATTCTCAATTAACTCAAACTCAAGAAAATAGCTGTAAATGACAAAGTGTTAAAATCAAAATGAAATGTATGTGCACTATTTTAGTATCTTAGCAGACACTAAAATTTGCCAGAATTTCCTGAATGTTGACACTCTGGATACCTGACACTCTTGAAACATCATGTGTGCAGCAAAAGCCATATCCAGCAGAGTTGTGCTCCTATGGTAACTGCACAGCAGTTGCTGAGACTTCATTTCTTTCAAGTGTGCAGCAAAAGCAAAGGTAACACCATATGAAATTGTGTGATAACCTGAGTGCATTGACTTGATGGTCTCCAGCTCACTCTCACTGATTAATGAGTCAGCTTTAACTTTAGCTGCAAGCCAAAAAGGTACCTGGGGAAAGGGGGGAAAAAAACTGTACAAAACCCAACCATCACTCCCTTCTGCCCAAGCTAGTACAGAGGTATGAAATCGCTATCTATGATGTCTCTTATGCGCACAAACAGGATTTTAATTTCCTGAAGTTTACGCAAGCAACAAAATCAATCTGAACTGTTCAAAAAAGCTTAAAAATAAACCAAGAGAAAACCATACTTTCATTACTCCACTTTACAACTTTCTCCAGTTTTCACAGAAATCTGAAGTAGGAACAAGACTGTGGTCAGCAAGAAAACTACATCAATACATACACTTCCTTGTTCTACCATCAGACTCACTTTGCAAAGCAAACCTATCACAAGGGAAAGCAAAACCCCCTGGGTTGTTCAGAGTCAACACTGACAGCCAGAGCACTGAACCTGAGATGTGTGCAAAGTCTTAACATAAACGTGTGCATTCTTAACATAAATTCTTCTGAAAGAACAGATTTAACTAAGTTACTCTGACAGCCTCACATGTTCAAATGCAGTTATCAGCCTGCTATCCTCAGCAAAAGCAGGCAGACGGAATACTGATAAAATCTTAAGAGATTCTGTGGTTCCTTTTATTCATAGCCCAAATTTCCTATTTTTTGGGAAATGCAGATCACATTTGCAAATCTTCTATAGAAGCATGTGAAATTGATTTTATTTAAGATGGGAAAAAGTGCCCAAGAATGTCACATAGTTAATACCTGCCTCAAGCACATAGGCCTTAAAAAACAAACATAATTAATGCTCTCTAGGCAGGAATCTCAAACTGTCAGGAAGGCATTTTCTTGCCCCATCTGTCAGTGTGTCATATAAAAAAGTTTGCTCAGATAAGTAAAACTGCAGAGCAGTTGGGACATAATGTGTATCTCAGTTTTAATCTCACATTTTTAAGACTAACATCTGATAACCAAAACCACTCTGCAGTAAGTTGCACACACAAATATGCAGAAATCTGCATGCTTTCCTCTTACATCAGAATGCCACAGAACCTGGGACATAAGTTGCCTAGCCTATACATTTCATCCTCCAGGAAAAACAAAATACATCCATTATTTTAAAGTACAGTAAGCACAGAATGTTATGCAGCTACAAGTTCTAAAAACATAATAAATTAAACAAAGAGATTCTAGCACCTCCTACATGTAGCAACCTAACCACAGTGTCTCACTCCACCCAGCTGCAGCTCTGCACGGGCACAGCAGCAACCCATTACAAGGTAGGAAAGCCCAGCTCAGCTGCACATCACAGTAAATGGCATGCTGACTAACAGAAAGGTGAAATCCTTCCTTTGTCAGTACAAAAGCTAAAATAATCTGTAGAAATTAATTTATATTGCCATCAAAAGAATCTCCAAAGTTTCCAGACTTCAGAAAAGGCAGGCTCACTCCTGTTTCAATAGTACATCAGTACAAACGTGCAGCAAGCAGATCAGATGTATATGGCAGCCAGATCTTCACACTACCAAATTCGGTACCTACTTTTGTCATCGCTGATCCACAAAATGCTCATGTTCTTGGAGAGGAGGAAAAAAAAATACAACAACAACAAAACACAACCATGAAAAACTGGAGGAAAAGCGCTGTACAGAAAACAAGTCTTTGACCACAACCTTAAGGAAAAAAAAAAGATGAACAATGCATAATGATCAGAACATTTCAAAGAGAATGCAAGCATCAGAACACAGACTGGTGCAGAGGGTAACAGGTGGAAACTCCCATCAGTTCAAGATCACCAGACTCCTGTTTTCACACCTCTACCACTAGCAGAAAAGAGGAAACAAGTGCAAGCTCAGGAAGGAGAGACAAGTGAAGTTCTTTTATAAGCATGGCTCTATGAAAAAGAAGTTGGCAATGACTGCTATGATTGTTTTCTGTTCTTCATGTCATAGAAGCTGAAATGATAGTTTGGCACAAATAACCATCTTTGAATCAATCAGCTATCCACCATCAGAATTATATACCAGGTACCATAGATAAAGTAGTTCAGCTTAAAAAAGGTGATCATATACTTTTTGAAAATTATTTTGTACTAATCTGACTCTGAAATCTCAAGGGAACTGGTTCTTACCCTCTGCTATTGATATGACTTAGGCTTTGCTGACGAAATTTTAATTTCTCACTTTCCTTTTTAATATATGCTCATGAAATTGCTCATTCTCATCATAACCCAACTTCATCATGCCGCATGCCAAAAAACGAAGCAGCTTCAGGCAGAGCAGATTTCCTGAATGGAAGAATTCAAAAGAAGCCAGCAGCAGGAGGCTCTGGTTTGGTAGCACACCTTGTCACCCACTGCTCTGTGCTGAAGCAGTTCCCCACTACAGGCTCAGGAATATGGTGCTGTGTATTCAGCTACTCAAGAGATGAAACATGAAGAAGAAAAAAAAAGACTGACACAGAACACCGCAAAATGCTGGCCAACAGTAAGTGGCTTTCATCCCCTCCTCAATTCCACTGACTGTAGAATACAGTGATAAAGCCTCCTCAGTTGTGTCGGGATTCTGTTCTGCTGAAGGAACCCCCTGCAGCAGCAATACCAGGAGTGTTACCACGTATTTTGCACTGTTGGGTTTTAAAAGCAAAATTACAGAAAATAATCAGTCAGCAAGAGAGTCTCTTAGTACCAAGAAACATCCCAAGTTTCTAAAGCCATATTTCTCTGGTAGATGAAAATATTCTCCATTTCCTACAGGCCAAACTTTTAATTAGGACTGAATAAAGATGTAAAGTTGAACCCACTGACAGACTAAGCAAAGGCAGAAAGGCAAACCTCTTTAGGCCTTACGCAGTTTTCACAGTCCAGAACAGGAAGGACTATCTGTTTCAGAAGGACTTTGGCTAAATGATACTCTAAATGATTAACAGTCATTAACAAATGGCTTGCTGCAACGTTAAGGATGTCACATTAAATGAAATCCAGTGAAGCCTGGCAAAGGAAAATCACTTTGCCAGAATTAGTTTCTGCTTTTTCCCTCTCATTCAAAGTAGTTTTAGTTTTGCTCTTGTAAACTCAACATTCATGAGTTGCTCACGCAGATCAAGTTCCTCAAACTTCAGAAGCAATGTGCATAATTTTAAAATTGGTGTCCTCATGCATGTTTTGTTACATTACAGTTAATTCTGTTAGTTCTGTTCCAAAGCACTCAAACATTACTCATATTCTCAGGCTAAAAACAAAATTTGAATAAAAACCCAGCCACTAAAACAGGTCTAAGAAATGCACGAAGTGATCATAGATCAATTGCAACGAAAGTAAAAAGGAAGTGACCAAAGACTCTTCTACTGTCTTGCTTGCACCCAAACAGATTATCATCTACTAGAACTCCCCGTTTGTGGAATTTTCCTCTCAAAGTAAGTTACTTTAAAACCTGCATATATAAAATAAATAAATACATCAAGAAAGCTGATTTATATACTCATTATAGCCATTGAGATTTGCTGTCAGAAAACCGAGGAACTCCCACATCACCTTGTAAGTACGAAGTGAAACCTTCAGGGAAGAGGCTGGACACCACGCAGGCGGGACCTGGCTTTCCAGAGATGTCTGCAGCCTTGTGACGGTCGGTCACAGCCCTCAGCAGCACCCTGGCACCCACCTGAAAAAACACCTGCCATTACTGTCGTGCTAGAAAAAAGTCGGGAGTTTCAGCACTGCCTTCTGCTAGAGCAGAATGACATCACTTCGGATGAATATGTCAGGGTAATTACACTTGACTTAGTAATAGGATTACCAGGATGAGTTAGAAAACGATGACAAAAGTGTGCTGTGGGCAGAAGACGTTCAGGCTGGGTATCAGGAAAAGGCTCTGCAGCAGAGGGCGGTGGGTGTGGAACTGCTCCCTCGTGCTCATGGCTCTGAGCTAAGAACCATCCGTACGACACTCAGACACACGGCCTCGTTTCTGGAGGGTCTCGTGCGGAGCCGGGACTTGGAATCCACGACCCTCACGCTCCCTTCCAACTCGGGGCACGCCGTCATTCCGTGCTTCTCTCCTCCTTTTGCTCCACGCGCTCCGTGCCGCAGCCCAACCCTTCACACCTCACCTGCCACGCAGGCAGCCCGCCCGGCTTCGTCCCTGCCGCTCTAACGACACCCGCGGCTCTCAGCCACCAAAACACTACTTCAAATGAGAGCCTGGAAGAGGAAGTGCGGCAAAGCGGTGAGGAAACTTGAAAGCCACTCCCTGCAGGGCAGGGGCGCGACGCGGCCGGGCTGCGGCTCCTCAGCGCCGCACGCGCCTCACGCCCGGGCCCAGGAAAGCCCTTCCCTCGCCTCAGGCGCGGCCCGGCGTCGGCAGCACCGCTCCGGGCGCGGCCGAGGCACCGCGCTGCGCGAGGGGCGGAGGCTGAAGCGGGCAGAGCGGGAGGGCAGGGCGGAGGAGCGGGGCGCAACCGGCCGGCTCTCAGCACCTCCGGGGCGGAGCGCAGCTCGGCGGCCGCAGGTGAGCGCGAGGCCGCAGCTGCACCCCGTGGGCGGAGCGCGGGGCGGGGAGCGCCGGGCCGCGGCGGCGGGCGCTGCTGCGCGGCTCAGTTTCTGTCTCGGACTCCGCCGGGATCGCGCCCGGAACTCGGCGGCGGCTCCGCGGAGCGGTGAGTGCCGGCACCTGGATCCCCGCGCGGCGGCACCGTCCCGCTCCGCAGTCCGCGCTCCCCGCCCCGCCCGGCGCGGGGTGAACGAGGAAGCGAGACGGGATCTGGCTTCCGTGGGGCTCCCGGCGGGGAGAGGGGCTGCGGCCGGGCCCGCCGCGAGGGGAGGGCGGCCCGGGGGGCGCGGCGGCGGCGGCGGCGGAACTTCTCGGCGGGGCGCCTCCGTGCTGGGGCTGCGGGCCGAGCTCGGGCCCGGGAGCTTTGTCCGGTTCGGGGAGCCGAGCCGCGGCGGTGCCGGGATGGGGCCGGGTCCTCCGCCAAGCGGGGCGGGCAGGTCCGGCAGCGAGCGGCCCGGCTCTGCGTCCCGAGCGAGGAGCCGAGGGGTAAGGAGCTCCGTGTGCCCTCTGCCCTCGCTGGGACGCGGGCTTGGCTCGTTCCCGGGTCGCCGAGACGGGTAACGCCAACTTCGTACTCTTTTCTTAATACTTTATTTTTTTTCCTTCTCTTCCCACCCGTGCGTGCCGATGCTCGGTTTCTGTCGGTGGGTGTGATCAGGTAATGCCCCGTCCTCCCTGCGCTCGGTTTTCGGCTGGCTGCAGGCAGACAATGGGAGCAGCGCTGCCCGCTCCCTGCATGCCGGGCGTGCACCTCTCAGAAACCCATCCTCAGCTCTTCGCTGGGGAATTCCCCGCGCTCATTAGGGTATGAAGCACCGCAGCGAGGGGTGCGTGGCTCTGCTGAGCCGGCTGTGCGCTGCTGCACCCCGCAGCGGTGGAACAGACACGCCGTGTGCCCCCGGGTCTGGGCAGCTGTGGGAGCAGAGCCGGACTCACGCGGACTGCAGGTGTGGGTGAGCAGTGCTTGCACTTTTTCCTGGCCTTATGGGTGAGTTTAAAGTCAGGACTGAAACTCATAAACATCTCTTTGAATAGCGTGTGTCAGAATTCTGGGTGCTCTTGTGTGTCCGGCTGTCAGATCTCGTTTGGACCTTGGCCTCGTCTCGCACACTCCGTCTGTTACCACTGCAATAAGCCAGGAAGCAGCCTGTCCTGCTCTCCTACCCTCTGTCTGATAATGCTGTGCAGTGTTGTATCGATCACACAGGGAGTGTAACCCAGCACAGCCGATACAGCCTTCTGAACAAGAGAGTTTGAGCAGTAATCAGAAGAGCCTATATGCAGCATTTCCAATTTCTTTTTGTTCCTGAGAAGGACTGCTTTACAGAGATTAGAGTTTATATTTAATTGTTGGACTGCCGGTTTTCAGTTACCCTGTGGTGCTGCTATGGGAATTTGGAGGAAGGAATGAAATGTAAGAGGCTGCAACGCATGAATTAGGGTTGTTTGTGGGTTTCATAGCAAAGATCTGTTTTAAAAATGCAGCTTTGTGCTTTAGGTTAAGGATCACTTAATGCTGGCTACTTCAATTTTGATCCATTTAGTAAATATATTTACTTTCAGTAATTATAAGATGTTCTGCTGTTTTTTCAGCCATCTCTATGTAAAATTGAATATAGCAAACTAGTGAAGGAGTGTGCGTATCAGAACAAAATGTGTAGCTTTTGAAAATGATCATTTAAGAAGTGAGGCACATGCAGAAGTATTTCAGTGGGCATCGTTTGTGTGTTTGCGTGTCATGCTAAACTTCAGAGAGTTGAGAGGTGTGATAAACAAATTACAAGTCAGCAATACTTGGAAATTTTTATCCTACATCTCATAATTCAGACATAGGTAGAAAGGAATTGCTGCCACTCAGTGACTGACACAGAGGTATAAGAACCTGTACTGTTACATGGCTGTAATGTATTGCAGGTGCTGAGTTTGCGGTAAGGTACTTCTGTGTCCCTCAGTCTGTGTGATCAGGAAGATGCTCAGATTGTTCTGAACATTTCTCAAACTTTTTTCCATCTGTACATAATTGTGATCCTTCTGTGTAGATACGCCTGATGAGAGGTGGGTTATGATGTCCTTATTGGGTGGAGCCGTGGAAGAATGTGACAGGACAGACAGAGCTTTCTGATCACATGGCTAGTTTAAAAGGTACTGCGTAAAGAAGGAAGTATTTTTAAACTAGAAATTACTTCTGAAGTAGAGAACTTCTGAAGTTCTGTAGCTGCTTTGGTTAAAGAGAGACCTTTAGAAGAGTCTTTCAAAGAAAATTCAATTATTTGATACTGTACCGTTCAAGGAAATGTCAGTAAAACCTGGAAAGATAACATCGCTTGAAATAACTGCTTTCCTAGGAGAAGTGTACAGGTTTTCAGGTCCCAGAGGCTTCTTCTAACATTTGAAGTTATCAGAATTAAAGCTCATCTCAAATTGAGTACTTTGGGGCCTAGCAGTTACCATTCACCATCCATCCTGGTTTCTGTTGGAAGGCCTCTGGTGTCCTGTCGCTTTGCTCCTCCACCCCAGGCCATGTTGCTCGGCTCTGGCTGCTGCTCCTGCCCGGAGGAGCCCCTACACCAGCCTACACTCCACAGCACTGCCACCAGGACCGGGACTGCAGCACGTCTGGCTGCACCACAGTGAACTTCTGTCCAGCAAACTGCAGCAACACGAGCCTCGGTGCTGCTGTGCGGTGTGAGTACTTCCCAGGTGTTGGCCAGCACTGAGGTGTGTTGCCAGTATTGGGTTCACTGACCCAGGTATTTAAGTTCCCTAAGGCTAACTCAGGTGTGTCTCTCAGTGCTGCAGTCAAAATACATAATGCATCTGTAGTCTGCCATCCCCTTCATTAAATATATAAAGTACATATGTAACCTACCATAAAACGAATGGAGGGAAGAAAGAATAGGCTAGAGACTGAAATGGCTATCGCATATGAGTCAGGGCTGAATGACAGAGATGACAGGGGATTTACCAGCAGAGTCTGAGGACTGACTGGCTTCACTGGGAACCTAATTCCTCATTTAATCATCCATTGATGAGAAAGGTCTTGGGATTTTTTTGCTCTAGAGTTGTTTATGTCTCCATCCTGATTGTCAAGTTCTAGCCAAAAGGTGTCTAATAAACATCAGATCTGTTTGTGTTCCAGCTGTTGTTATAGCTGCTTTCTCTGCTCCACAACAAAACTTCTCAGCCTTCGCTGACTCCTTCTTTACCTCTGTGATATCGGTGCAGAATTTGATTCTGTCAAGCTGTACATTGAATCAAAGGAATGAGCAGGGAAGGGAAGAAAACTGCCTCTTCCCCTTCACAGCTCTTTGGGCAGTGCAGGAAAATTAATCTCCTCGCATCCACTTGACTGTGCATTGCAAAGATGCAAATGAAGAAATGAGCTGTGGGAGCTCTCTGTGGCCCTGGTAGAAATAATGCCGAAGTGACTTGTGTTAGGCTCTCATCTGAAAGTTATTTTTAACTGCCTTGAGGAGAGTTTTTGTGCTTTGTTGCTGAGACATTACCTCTCCAAGCCAGAGTTGCTTCATGATCTTTGTATGGTATTTGTTGAATAATCTTGTGGAAGTCTGCTCTGTAGGAAGTAGCCTGCAGCCACTAACCCCATAGTGCTGCCTGGATTGTGCCGACTGCTCCAGCGTCCTGCTCTGTTCTCAGAGTCACCAGGAAGGGTTAAGAAATGAGGGATCTGGCATAAGAGTACCAAGGACATCACAAATCTGGCCTTTGCAAGAGTGGTGTAACACATATTTCTGTTCTGTTCTGGACCAGACTCTGCTGCTAGAAGTACCACTGATATGGACAGTGGAAACACTGTGTGTACAGCTACATCTTTCTGATTTACTTCTTTTCATAGTTGCTTTTTTCTTTATTGAAAATGAATGCAAATGGAGCAGTATGTCAACCTTTCAGTGACAGAAAGGTGCCCTGCCATCCACACAGTAAGTTGCATTTTGAAACTGTTAAATTAGCTGTTGCTGTTTTCTGAATGATGATAGATTTGCCTGTTTCTGACTGCAAGAAGGAGATGATGTGGGGCAGATGTGTATCAATAGCTGCACAACAAAGCCCATAAAATACATTATCTGAAGATATGTTTCCAGCAAAAAAAAAAAAGGGTATGAATGAAACTGCTGAGTATTTCTTGTGGTATCCTCTCATTTTTTTCTGCTTTTTTTTTTTTTTTTTTTTTTTTTTTTACTGTTGAATGTAATCTTCTATCAGGAAAAGCTTATGGGTGACTTCTAAAGGAGGGAGATGTGCACTTGCTGTTTCCTGACGAGCAATCCTTCAGATCTGCCTAAACAATAAAAAGCAGCACCTCTTTGTATTCCCCAGAATTCTAAGGTGCTGCCCACTTGGGTGTTAACAGGCGTGGTTAAAACCCAGCTACTCGCTGTAAGTACCACATATCCTGAAACATTTGCAGTAAATGTAAGCCTCGGCCCCTGCTCTGTTCCCCATCCCTGAGCCATGAAGTTGTAGTGCTGCTCAGCCCAGAGCTCTGTCAGCTCAGCTTTGTTGGATGGCGGCTCTGTAATGATGAGGTGACAAAGAAAATGGCATGGCTTTTAGTACTCAAATGTCAAGCTACCTTTGGAGCATTCAAATTATTTATTTATTCCCCCTCTCCCCGTCATCAATGTCTATTTACTAGAAATCTACTGAAATCCTCATCTGTGCATTTGATTCTTCCTCAGATTCTCTGATTTCTTTTCAGAAGTACAGTTCAGGCTTTGCCATGGTTTCTCTAAGGAATTCCTGAAGTCCAAGTGTTTGGTTAGTGCTACTTTGTACTAATTTCCTTCATGTTTTAATACTAAATATTAGACACAGCTTATGGGAAGAAGTATTCCTGGCTGCTTCTCAGGTTTACCCTTCAGGTAATGAAGTCTGGGAGGCTTTCTTCAATTTGTAGATGTAGATTCTAGAAGATGTAGGTGGATCTTGAAAAGCGAATCCAAAATGTCTTAGCAGACAGGCTCAGTGTTGAGCTTGGCTTCTGCAGAGTGCCTTTTTCTGGGAAATTCCCCAGTGAGTCCAAAAGCAATGCAGCTAAGCTGTTGCTAACGTGTTTGATGGCTGTTGTGAGCTGTGCTTTTCTGA